GTTGTTTCTGGAACTTTCTCTGGTTGTCATGTTGTTCTAAGTTAGCTTTTTTCTTCATCGCTGTCGTTAATTTTCCTGCGTTTTTACTTCTCTTGAAACTTCATTCACTGTATTATAACTTTATTTTTTGTTTCAAGGCTGATTTCTACCTCCGATCTCTCGTATTTTAATGATTTGTTTGCTGATTTTTTTAGTTTCTTCTCAATAAACTTTTAGCTCTTTTCCTGCAACTTTTTCTACTTTTAGTGTTTTTAGTCTTTTTAATTTTTTCTTTTGACTTTCCGGATGTTTTCGGAATTTTTTTGCTCCTCAGATTTTTTTATTAATTTTTCTTTAGCTGAAATGTTATTAAGGCTATAATAGAGCACTGGTTTTGATGTGGTTTGTGTTTTTTGAGCTGGGTAGTTTTGTAAAATTGTAACTGTTTTCTTTGTTAACTTTGGTAGTCTTGGTTTATTGAAATATTTTCGCTGTAAGTTTGCCTGCCTTTTAATATAAACCTAATAAAATTGTATAATGTTTCAAATGTTCTTATTAGTTAAAGTGGCGTTTTCTATGATCGGCAAAAGTTCTATAGAGCGAGAGATTTGGTCTTGAAATGCTCTTTAGTTCTGTCTTGTTCGTCGTGTGAAATCAGTCTGGTTGAATATTATTTCATGGGCGGTGCAGTTTTGCATAATGGGGCAGGCAGAGAAGGGTGCGATTGTCGAAAACTTTTGGCCCCGGCGGTTATCGTTAGTTCCTTTTTTGTCTTTTCTTTTCCAGATTTATCCTGTACGAGGTATGTGAGAGAGGCTAAAAGTTTCCATCTCTTCGGTTTTTTGAAATAATTATATCAGTTTAATTGCTGGTAATTCATGCACTGGTGCAACTGATATGACTTTATTTAAAGAAAGTTTATAAGTCGTTTAATTTTCTAAGCGAAAAAGCAGCAAACTTATTTTTCTTTTGATTGATATATGCAGGATTTGGCTGTTGGCTGCTTTTTTACGAATATTGGCCAGGTTATACTGCGGCGAGTTCTTAAGCAAAAGGGCAGAACTGGTGGTTCCACGGAACTCGTATAGGCGGCTGGCTGACGGTATTTCGATGCATGCGAGTGGGATCTCACCGTACGATGGCGATATGTTCCATTATGTAATTTGTTTACCTTGTCAGTCCCAGTTTCAATAAAGTAGATGCCGTTCCTTTTTACACCAATAATAATTAGGCGGACTACCGCTCAGCATTGGCTTTCTACGTATAGATCATTTTGCAAGGAACGGAAGCAAAAAATCATCAGTGAAAATTAAGACTATCCAAATGTAACTGAGTGCGACAGTTCTTAATGTTTAGGTGGAGGTGTTGGGCTGTGACTTCAATTGCAGGAGAAGCTTTTTTATGTTAAGGGTGTTTTTTTCTAACTTTGAAACTTTCCAGTTTGTTTAGTTCTTTAATTTTCTTGCTTAGCGACTACAGGACGTGTAAAAATTGCATTATCTTATATAGCTTATTGATAGTCAAGCACATTCTCCACAGTTTTAAGGCATTATTGCAAGTCGTTTATTTTTCGATTACGTATTAATTTTTGCTAATTTTGCAGCAACCAGTGATTTTGCATCTTTTTGCTATTTTCATAGACAAACCTCGGCTCATTCTTGCCCTATTTGTCGTAAGTTTATTTTTCCTTTAGTGTTTTAAACAAGCCACCTCTGGCGTTCAGATCTTGAGCATTAATTTTCAACAGTCCTTGGCGGTCATTTAATACTCCCTTGGAATAAATTTCTTATTTAGATGATGGATATTGGTATAGCAGAGCTTCTACGAGCAGTAGCTTTGATTTACGTAAAGAAAAAAGAGAATATGAATATCATTCAGATGAAAAGTACAGCGGATTTAGTTGTTAAATGGTCAGCTTTTTTCTGAAAAGAATGTTAAGTAGATTTCTCAAAATTTCTTCTATAACGGGATGCAGCCGAACCAAGAAGCTTTTCTTTCTGACCGCTGAAAAGGTTTTACAAAATCAGCTTTAAAATATCTTATCAATTATTTTCTTAAAGGCGCTCTTAAGTTTATCTATAGATTTTCAAGCAGATGAGCTCTTACTCTGTTTGCCAGTGTAAGATTTTCAGAAACAGTTGAATGTACGTAGTTTTAACGAATAGTGGTTAGTGCTGTTAAATACTGTCACTTCAGATAAATTTTTTAAGCAAGAACGTTAAAATAAACTGTCTTTTCCACCTCTCTTCTCTCCATGTTAGGGCGTTTTGGGCAGCTGGATTTGAAGCTTTCAGAGGTCTTTATGTGTCAGCATCTGCTTGACTTCTAACAGCCTTGAAAAAGTTTTGGGAAAAGTTACTATAATAACTTTTAATCAGTTATTAGACAAGCTAAATGGGACTTAATTTGTGTCCTCTTGTAACTAATCTCTTCTCTAACTTTATCATTTTTTGCAGCTACTTATTAAATCCAGTAGCTATTGGGTCCTGCGCTATCTTCAGTATTTCCGTTCTATACAACTTTTTGACAACATGTTTCTTATATGCTTTCATTAAAGGTACTTCTTCAATTTTTTGGAGTCAGAGGTGTTGTGCAGGATTAACGGACGCTTTTTAGAATGAAACTTTTCAGACATTTATTGTTATGACACTTTGAATAATGTTTATTTTTGGGAGCCTTTTTTAGGCTGGCTGCTCCGAAGTGCCCTTTTGTGCTCGTTCCTTACACACCTTGAGCTGTATCCTGTGATATTTCTTGGTGCTCTTATCGTGAAATACAAGAGAGTAGCAGAAAAACTTTTGGTCGCTGTTGTCTTTCTTGTTTCCTTCGCTTTCTTTTTTGCCATCAATTACGAACTGACCCGTAATTTCGATTTCCTGGATTCAACTTACTTATTCTTGTAAGGCTTTGTTACAAATCCGTCCACTTTCCTGTCCACAAACAAAGAGCTCATAGTTTTTTTTTTAGATTGGGCGTTACCGATCTGACACCAAATATCGGTATATTCTGGTACTTCTTTATTGAAGTTTTCAATCATTTCCGATTATTCTTCTTGTGGGTATTCCAAATCAACATTTTAGTTTACGTGTTCCCTTTACTTCTTACTATTAGGTAAGTTAATTTAAAAATCTCCTTTCTGTACTTATTGTTATTTATCATTACTGGATAAGGAAATTCGTTTATTTTAGAGACAACTCCTTCCTCTTACTGCATTTATATCTAATACTTATATCTGTTTTTTCGTCTTACCCATCAATGGCCGAAAATTTGATATATATCAGCCTTATCCCAGTCTTTACGTCGCTGCATAAATGTGAGTTGCTTTTTCAGCTTTGCGAGCTGTCCACCCCTATTTTTACAGAAAATGTTCACAAAAATGTCATGAATTTAATTTTCTTGTCTTAGCTTTTTTCTAGACCTGTTACACTAACACCGATGCGTTTTGACCTTGTACCCATAAGCTTCCCCCAGTTTCATCACTTGTGGCTGCTTGAAGTTACGTAATGAACTTGTTGCAAATTTACCCGTATTCCCCTACCATTATAGTCCAGAGCACCTAGTACATGTCTAGCAAAGTTAATGACAGGAAGAATTTGGAAAGTCAGATAAACAATACTTTTGTTGGGAATGAAAAATAACTTTAATTAATGTTCTTTTAAAAGATAATTCGCATTTCCGCGGCAGAAAAAACATTAATAAAATAAGCTTTGAACAGAAGGAGCTGGTCGCACCTTTGTTTTGTTATTTAGTTGTTATATAACTTTCAGTAGTATTTGTAACACACATCAGCTCCGTAATTTTTGGCGTTGCTGGCTGTCGTTGAGAGAAAAGTCTACTTCAAGATATGGTTAATGTGGAATTGAACAAGATTTTTATGAGGTTGCGTAGATTAGGGCGGGTAGCTATAGTTTGGAAAACTGACAGCTACTCCGTTAACTTCCTTCAAATATTTCCAATATAATGACCTGTTTAGATATTCGCTGGGGCCTTTTAATCAGTGGTACGTTAGTTACATGCACAGTACTAGCACCCATTATGTGGCTGATGTGGATCGTAATTGGATCTGCTAACGCAAATTTCTACTTTGCTGTCGCTTTAGCCTATTCCGTGGCACAGGTAAATGGCATCCTTCTCAAGCCACCAACATTTTCTTTATTACAACCTGCATAGAACTTATCTTGTTTCTGTTCTAGATATTTTTGCTCACGGACCTTTTATATGCGTACCTCCATAAAAAAGTGACAGAAGTAAGGGGAGAAGACAAGGTGAAGAACTGCGCCTGCTTTGTTCTGAAGTGATTTTAGCCTTGAGGCTTAAGGAGACTCCGCACAACTTATTACGTTATCCTGCTGTTTCAACTATTCCTTGAGAAGCACCCCATAACCACAGGTCTGTCTTTATGGAATGAGATGAGCATGAGCCAAATATGGCGAGGCTCTACTCTGGAATGGATCGTTACTGAATGCTTTTTTCATACTCGGTAGCAGCATGTTATATAAGCATTGTTTTACTTCTTGCTTACGTGAAATGACCTTTCAATGGCTTATCGGCCGTTGATGCTAGGATCTCATTTTCTTTTTTTTAAAGACGCGTTGACAAAGGAAGCCTCTGGTGTCGCTTTAAAACTCTTTGTAATTTGATCCTCCATAATTATGCTCAGTAAATACTTCAATTTTAAAAGTGTGACACCACCAAAGCGCCAATTTTCCTTATAACGCATCAAAACATCACTTCTACGGTGGCTTGTTCCATCATGAAAAAGTATAGCTAAGTACTTTTTGAAAAAAAGTATTTACATTTCTATTAATCCGATGCTTTTATCACAGATGAGTAAAATTTGGGGTAGTGTGAGTCATGTGATTCTGAGCGAAAAACATTCAGAAGAAATTATGACATTTAGTACCTCATCAATTTCGTAGTCTTTATGCCCCAACTAACTAAAAAGTGACCAACTGCCGACCATTTCCTTTCCGTGACTGGAATTGGCGTACGTAAAAGTAAGTCACTGAGGTTGCTAGTGGCAACACCATTCTGATCCATGTCAAAGCAGAACTAGATAAAACGCAATCTTTGCAGAAAGCAAGGAGGTACACGTAGAACAGAGATCAGCTTTTCAAAGAAGAGAAATGTAAAAGCACTGACCATAGGGGGATGAAAAATAATTGCAGTAAAGGCAACAACATATCACTAAACAGAAGGTAAGAATGATTCATCCAAAACATAAGAGAATGTGCGGCATCAGTCACTGTTTCACTCTGGTTGACGAACATGCTTTTTACAGAAATAAAAAGCAGAAGCGGATGGATTAGGAATCCAAATAGTCCTTTTATCCAGTTGAGACTCCTTAAAAAATTACTTCATTTGGAATAATAGAAGCAAAAAATTAAAAAATTTTTATAACAAAAAGCATTGGATTTACTATATTTTGTTTTAATTCCTTTAAACGACTTGTATAACTGCTTCTCACAAGTGACCTACCTCAAGTCAATAACAGAAAATACAACGGCTACAGGGACAGCGACTAGCGATATGCAGAAAGCAAGTGAAAAATTCAGTAATGAAATTGATGCAATTACAAGAGCTAGCTCGAGGAAAAACAAGAATTTTAATGGGCGAATATCTTCCTCCACGCTAAAATACAAACAGAAAAGATCTCAATTCAAAAGGCAGAACCACTAAAAAATTGTTAGCGCAACAAAGGTCACGCTTTTTTAATAAATTCATTTCGCAGCAACAGAAAATAATGATAAAACGAGGGGAACAATTGAATATTCGGATAAACTTACCAAGGCACGATCCAGTAGTACGGCAGAAGCACGAGAAACAAATGGATATACTGCCCATTCTCCAAATAATTTTCCGCGAAAAATTTCCCCATGATGTAGCAAAGAAGGCCAATCATGTGAAAAATCAAATGAGAATTTGGCAAAGCAAACGTTGACATGTCAAACCATTCTTTCAAAGCCTAAAAACGGATCAAGTGGAAGACAGAAATATAAGTAATAATTTAATATAAAAAACAGTGAAGATACAGAGCACATAAAATAATGTAAAGAATATTTTAGAGTAACAAAAAACCAATACAGGCGGAACACTTACTAGAACAATGAGCGGCAATATCAACATACCAATGATTGGCATGTAATATGCAACTGAGATGAACCTTCGTGAGTTTGTGAGGATGTATAGGAAATAAGACTGGTGGAATTTCTCTATTATGTTGTTGAAAGACCTAAACAAATTTCGCAGAAATCAGAGGTTTTCATCAAAAAGAAACAAATTACCTTAAAGCTCCTTCACATATTCTGGCAAACCCGGAAAGTGATATATGACCTGACGAACCTTTCGCATGTACCGTCACTGCTTGTATCCCATATAATCCAAGGACACTGTGAAGTCCCTGCGCTCTAGTAAACGCCTTCAAGAAATTTAAACAAAAACAGTAGAAAGTTCTCAATGAACTACCTAATTACAGCAACAAAGTTACAGCCCTTTTGCCAAAATTTTTTTGCTTGTAGAGAATACAAAGAACTTGTAACAATTCCTGCACTCTTTTAGAAAAGTTACTGACAAAGAAGTTGAACTAGGGTTTTGAAAGATTACCTGGGTCAATATCCCCTTCGATACAGTCTCTGCTATATCCCTCCAGGAAGACTGACGCTTATTATCATATATGGTAGAAGTCAGATCAAATTTATCTGCTAAGCGAACGAAAAGATTCACTACATCCAAATTTGGTAGCTGACCATTAATCATGTTATATTCAATATTCAAAGTATTGAAACTGTTTCCGGTAGTTTTGATGATAAAGCCACCAATGATGGCCCCTCCATGACGAGTAACTCGATCATAGTTGAAAAGCGGAGCAGACTCTCCATGATACGCAGCAAGGAATGCTTTCATCCCTAATACACCGCCGTCAACAAATACAAAAATCAGATTTCGTGCCCAGTAGATCTGCTCTGAAAGAAACTCTCTTTCAGCAGTCATTTTGGTCAGTGACATTTCAACAATAAACACAACAGCTAACAGCACAAAGTTTCACCTCTACAGTACGTAGCCAATGCTAGCGTTAAAGCCACAGCATCCGTAGAACCATCTGTGGCAACACCAATTAAAATTGATTCTACCGACAACGACCTGCTAGCGTAGATTAGCCCATAAACATTCGTCCTTGTTTCATTCTAACAAGGACTGTATTACACACAGAAACTAATTAATTGTTCTAGGCAAAGTTACAACAAAGAAAAGATATATGGACCATTCCACGCCAAATCGCACAAGTTTGCACCTCGACC